TCTCTGTCACCACAGTTTTTCCTTTTCTAGCTGTCATATAAATGTAATCATACAGTATATACTGTGTCTGACTTCTTTTATTTAATATTGTATCTATGAAATTCATCCAGCATATACATTTGTAAATATAGTCTTACTGAACATATCTTTGTCTTTTTTTTTTACCTTAGCAAGAGAGTATAAACTCCCTTTCATGTCAAAACTTGTAGGTAGTCTCGTGCTTTAGATGGCAAGGCATCTGCCTACAATGTGGGAGACCTGGGTTCGATCCTTGGGTCAGGAATATCCTCTGGAGAAAGAAATGGCAACCACTCCAGTATTCTTGCCTGGAGAACTCCATGGACCGGGGAGCCTGGTGGGCTACAGTCCATGGGGTCACAAAGAGTCAGACATGACTGAGCGACTTCACTTTCACTTTCATGCTTTAATAGCTCCATGTCATTCCATAAAACTATAGACGTTCCATAATTTATTTAGCATTTTCACTCTTAGTGGACACATAGGTAGTTTCTAGTATTTCATTTACATGGATTTGATGAGTTGAGAGGCTGTGTTTTTAGTGTTAATCAGTTCAGTTCAGTTCAGTCACTCAGTCATGTCCAACTCTTTGCAACCCCATGAATCGCAGCACACCAGGCCTCCCTATCCATCACAAACTCCCAGAGTTTACTCAAACTTATGCCCATTGAGTTGGTGATGCCATCCAGCCATCTCATCCTCTGTCATCCCCTTCTCCTCCTGCCCCCAATCCCTCCCAGCATCANGACTCATTGGAAAAGACCCTGATACTGGGAAAGATTGAAGGTGGGAGGAGAGGGGGAAGCAGAGGATGAGGTGTTAGATAGCATCACCATGAGTTTGAGCAAACTCTGGGAGATGGTGAAGGACAGAGAAGCCTGGCATGCTGCCGTCCATGGGGTTGCGAAGAGTCGTACATGACTTAGCAACTGAACAACAACAACAGTATGAATACAACATAATTTAATCAGTTCTTATTGATAGATACCAGTTTATTTTCATTCTCTTGTTATTATAATTAATACCTGTAGAATAAATTCCTAAAAATGGAACTACTAAAAAATTATATATGTACACTTTTAAAATAAACTCTGTTGAACTATACATGTAGAAAAGTGTACATAAGTACAGAGGTCTGCACATTTTGACAAAGTAAATATACACATGTGAATACACCCAGATCAAGAAAAACATGATACCAGCAACCAGAAGCTTCCTCCTGCCCACCGTTTCTGCTACTAGCCCAGTTCACCTAAAGGTAACCAGTAATTTAATTTCCAACACCTTAGATTAATTCTGCCTGGTTTTGAATTTGTAAGTATCTTTTATTTTAACAGATATCCCTTCATGAAAATTTGATGTTGACACTTCTACTTTTATATAGGAGAATTCACATTTCCTAACACCTTCACCAACCCAAAAGATTATTAAACTTTTTGAGTTTTGCCAACTATAAAGTGAAAAGTGTTGTCTTATTTTGCATTCTTCTTATACTGAGTAAAGTTCTGCATCTTTTCATATGTTCAAGAGCCATTTGTACTTTTATTTCTATAAATGGATTTATACCATAGTATATATTAAATTAATCTTGTGTGATATATTTTGTAAATATTCTTCATAGTTTGTCATTTATCTTTGGTTTTGTTTTTCCTACAGACATTTTTATTGGCTTTCATTTTTTCCTTTCTGTTAGGGTATAAAATTGATTTTTTTTTTCCTGACTAGTGAGGCTGAGTATCTTTCATCCTGGTTTTTTTTATTATTATTTGTACTTTATCTTCTGGATATTGCTTCTCTATATCCTTTGTTTTTATTAGATTATCATCTCCTCATCCATATCTAGACACTTTTTATATACTAGCAAGTATCTCTGTATTTTTTTAAAAAGTTCACAGCCCCTTGTCATTTTTTAAATTTTATGGCATCTTTTATTTTGTAACAGCTTTATTGAGGTGTAATTTACATATCATGCTGTTTGCCCATTTCAAGTATACAATTCAATGGCTTTTAGCATATTTACAGAATTGTGCGAATATTACCACAGACATTTTCATCACCACAGAAGAAACCTATACCCTTTTTAAGAAATTTTTAATTTTATACTAGAGTATACTTGATTAACAATGTTGTGACAGTTTCATGTGTACTGCAAACTGATTTAGTTATATACATACATGTATCTATTCTTTTTCAAATCATTTTCCCATTTAGGTTGTTATACAATATTGAGCAGAGTTCCTGGTTTTAGACAGTAGGTCCTAGTATAGCAGTAGGTACATCTCAATTCCAAACATTTTATCCCTTCCTCCCTCCACCCCCACCCTGGTCTCCTGGTTCATTCTCTTAAGTCTGAGTCTGTTTCTGTTTTGTAAATAAGTTCATTTGTACCAGTTCTTTTTCGATTCTGCATATATCTTATGTTTCTTTCTCTGACTTACTTCACTCAGTATAGCAAAAACTAAAAATAGAGCTACCATATGATCCTGAAACCTTGTACCCTTTAGCTGCCACCATCAATCCCCCACCCCCAGTCCTCGGCAACCACTACTTTGTGTATTCATAGATTTATCTATCCTGGATATGTCATATGAATGGGGTCATAAAATATGCGGTCTTTTGTGACTGACTTCTTTCATATACCATAATGTTTTTAAGATCCACCTTTGATGTAGTGTGCATCAGCACTTTATTCCTTTTATTGTCAGATATCCACATGAATTGTCAAATATCTATATGAATATTCCACATTTTGTTTATCCATCAGTTGATAGACATTTGGATGATTTCTACTTTTTGGCTATCGTGAATAATACTGTTGTGAACATTCATGTACAAGTTTTTGTATGGACATATATTTTAATTCCTCTTGATATATACCTAAGAATGGAATGGCTGGATTAAATGGGAATTCTTTGTTCACCTTTTTAAGAAATTGCCATTTCCAAAGCAGCTGGACCATTTTACATTCCCATAGAAATGTATGAATATGCAGCTTCTCCACATATTCACCCAAATTTGTAATCTGACTGTTTTATCATACCCATTCTAATGGATATGAAGCCTGGCGTGCTGCAGTCCCTGGGGTCTCGAAGAGTTAGACACAACTTGGCAACTGAACAACAACAAACAAATGAGATACACAAGACTGTAACCCACTAAGCTCCTCTGTCCTTGAGGTTTCCCAAACAAGAATACTGGAATGGGTTGCCATTTCCTTCTCCAGGGATCTACCCAGGGATCAAACCCAGGTCTCCTGCATTGGCAGGCGAATTCTTTACCACTGAGACACCAGGGAAGCCAGTATCTCACTATGGGTTTGTTTGTTTACAATCTTAACCTTTTAGCGTGTGTGGTTAAAAAAAAAAGTAACGTAAAATTTACTATCTTAACCATTTTTAAGTGTTCAGTAGTGTTAAGTATATTCATGTTGTGAACCAGATTCCGGAACTTTTTCATCTTATAAATTTGAAACTCTGCACCCATTTAACAGCTGTCCTCTTTCCCTCCCCCTAAGCCCTGGTAACCACCATTCTACTTTGTTTCTCTGAATTTGACAAACTTAGATAGTTCATGTAAGTGGTATCATACAGTATTTGTCTTTTTATGACTGGCTTGCTTAGCATAATGTCCTCAAAGTTCATCCATGTTATAACATGTGACAGGATTTCTTCCCCTNTTGTATAGTATAAATAAACATAAAGAACCATTTTCCTATGGATATATTTAACTAGCCAGTAATCACAATTATTATTCATACAATTCATTACTGAGTGGTATTATCAGCTATTTTCCTTTAATTTATAACATATAAAATATTTAATAGCACATAAAGTGTGCCTTCTTACAAAGAAATTAGTTTGCATGAGGTGGTAGTAGTATAGTTATGTTTCAAAGCTTATATTAGTTATAGAAAGAATATTCAGATATCCTTGTGGTTGTTGTTCAGTTGCTCAGCTATGTCCGACTCTTTGTGACCCCATGGAAACAAGCAAGTTGACAATATATACAGCCTTGACATTCCTTTCCCAATTTTGAACCAGTCCGTTGCTTCATGTCTGTTTCTAACTGTTGCTTCTTGACCTGAGTAACAGGTTTCTCAGGAAGCAGGTAAGGTGGTCTGGTATTCCCATCTCTTGAAGAATTTTCCAGTTTGTTGTGATCCACACAGTCAAAGGCTTTAGTATAGTCAGTGAAGCAGATGTTGTTCTGCAATTCCCTTGCTTTTTCTATGATCCAGTGGATGTTGGCAATTTGATCTCTGGTTCCTATTCCTTTTCTGAATCTAGTTTGTCTTATACATCTGTAAGTTCTCAGTTCACATGCTGTTGAAGCCTGTCTTGAAGGATTTTGAGCATTACCATGCTAGCATGCGAAATAAACCCAATTGTGTGGTAGTTTGAGCATTCTTTGGCATTGCCTCTCTTTGGGATTGGAATAAAAACTGACCTTTTCCAGTCCTGTGGCCACTGCTGAGTTTTCCAAATTTGTTGGCATATATAGTTATATTTTCCATAAAAGTTATCAAAGGGTGCCTAAATTCTTTGACCCAGAAAATTTGAATAGATAAATGGTAACAGTCTAGGTTGAGATATGAAGTATTAAATGTTCTATTTGGTTTTTTTCAGTATAAGTTTTAATTGGTTTGTACTTCTCTGTCAGATTCTAAGCCATCCTTGGAATGTAGCTAACCAGCTGGGAAATAGGGCCAAGAGATATGTTATATATACATAATTAATTATATCACCTATATATTTCAAAAAATGGCATCAGCTTGACTGCTTAATAAAGGCTTTTGAAATAACTGGCATAAAGTGAACAACAGAAATTTAATTTACTCGGATCTAAAGAAACTGGGTTGATTTTTACTTGTGATCATGAATCAATAGGGCATATTAATAGATTTTAGGGGAAAATTAGAGCTCACTTTAAATATAAGCTTACATTATAACAGTAATAATAGGCTTTTTTTAATTTTTCCACAGTTCTTAGTGGTCTCTGTTCTAATGACTGTCCTCGTAAGATAACAGTAAGTAACCTTAATTCTTAGTTGTAAATATTTCTGTTAAAGTTCTCTGCATGATAGATACACACAAAATAGTTGTTATAGGTTTAATCAAATTGATGTTACTCTTAGAAGTGATTGAAATGTCCTTCATTGCTCAAGTAAAGTTTACTAGGAATAAAGTTCCTTTCCTAAAAACTTTCTCATCTCAAGGTTTATTTCCTTAATGAATCTTCTCTGATATACTTGGAGAAATGACCACAGCTCCCATCATTTCTGGGCATCTTGCTGCCATTTCACATGTGTAATACTTGGTCACACTTTATCTGTTCATATTTAATGCATTTCCCCAGACTGTAATCCCTTGAGGTCAAGAACCATACCATCTTTGAATACCTCACTCATAGCACAGGATCAAGCATACAGTAGATAAGTAATGAATTTTTGGTATAATCTTAATATTGACTTGCTGTCTAGTGGAATGTTTCAATGAAATAACAAATGTGAAAATAATAAGAAATTGTCAACTCATTTAAATTGTAATAAGAATACTACATTTTATTTAAAAGCATGAGCGCATTCACATGTGTGTCTTTGTGTGTGTGTTGGTATATTCTTGTTTGAGTCCTTGTAGTAACCGTTGTTACATAAGGAATTATCCTGAATTTAAAGATGAGGAAACTTGAGGCTCAGAGAAATAAACTGTCCAAAGTCATAGAGCCATTAAGTAGTGTAACTAAAACACAGAACTAGGTTATCTGATTATAGCCTCATATTTTTAACACACCTTTAAAGCATTGCTTCATCATCAGCGTCCTATGTACGGTTGGGAAACGTCCTATATTTAAGACATTTGGAATCCCTGACCCAGAGATTTGCATGCAAAGATTTAATCTAGACTCTTCTTGAGAGTAAGACGTCTGGAGTAATGAAGACTGTCAGAAGAAGTTGGTCTGTGAGCTGTGAAGCAAAGATGGTTTTTCAGAGATGGCCCAGATTGAAGCAAAAGAGCCATGCCTTTGTATTCTGCATCAATCAGACATTGCATGCAGGCAGTCCCCAGGAAGGGGTTATAATTTATACAAGCCAGCTCCCTTTGGCTGAGAACAATTTTTAGGTTAAGAACTCAGCTGTAAGCTATCCTCAACCAATACTTGGAGCAGCTCAGGGAATATTGTCTCAATCCTAAAGGGGAGGTCTGTCACCACAACCACTGTGAGTACCACATGAGTACCTGGTCAGACATATCTGCTTTCATATCAAAAATGTGAACATCTTGAAGGGGAGGTCTGAGGAGGAGAGATGCAGAGGGTACATGGGAATTCTTTGGAATTTCCACTTAATTTTGCTGTAAATCTGAAACTGCTAATAAAAATAATGTCCTTTAATTAAGTGCAAGTCTGACTAATTGGAGGCCAAAGATTAACTTGGTTATTCAAGAAATGTCTACCCAGTTTATGAAACAAACATTCAGACCCTTTGTTCTTCTTCTTTTCTCTGATTGACGATATTCCCATCATGTGGCTCTTTCATTACCCTAGTCAAGCAAAGAACTTTACAGAAGTTGAAACTGAACCGACTCATTTTACCGACAAGTTCTAGCAGAAAAATTGGTAGAAAAGGCCGTTTGCTTAAGGCAGGTTGTATTTGTATTTCTGAGATCACTAGTGCTCCCATTCTCCATATCTTAAATTTACGTCATGTGGAGAATAGTCATTGAGAAAGTCACGTAAGTAAAGTGCAGCGTGCAGAGCTGCTCTTACAATGGTTATCTTAGCAGCCCAGCACCTCTGGGCTTTTCTGCAGGTGATACGCCTGCCTCCCATTCACTCCTTGATTACTTTATTTGAAGTTCAGATCCTGTTGAACTGCCCTTCACATCTATCATTTTCCTTCCCCACTGATATCATAGATCACAATTTTGTGGCAAGCTAAAAGAAACAAATACACACTACCCCAGTTTTCCATATATCAAACATATGCCCACTTGTGAAATTATTTATTTCATGATAAAGTGGGCCTTCTTCATATTGCTTTGATATCAGATCCACTTGATCATAGTAGAAAATGTTATGTTAGATATGACCAAGTATGAGACTAAGAGGAAAAGGTGCATACCATATGATATTCTTACCACTTGAGTTAAATTATGAATTGAATAAATACTGTTCTGCTGCCTATATATTCCCACCTGCTACAGGCAACCTGTCTGATATATGGAGAGAGGAAAGAATATTTAAGTCAGCAATTCATCTCACCCAAATTCCTTTGTTTCCAGACTCCTTCATCTTCATTCAGCTTTAACTGCTCACTCCCGTGTCTGTGTGATAGGCCCTGTGATTCGTTTGCTTTGTGTTCGGTCGCTCAGTTGTGTCTGACTCTTTGCGACCCTGTGAACTGTAGCCCACCTGGCTCCTCTGTCCATGGGATCTTCCCAGCAAGAATACTGGAGTGGGTTGCCATTTCCTCCTCTAGGGGATCTTCCCAACCCAAGGATCAAACCCGTGGCTACCCGTTTCTCCTGACTTGCAGGTGGATTCTTTACCGCTATAGTGATAGACCTTATCTACCAGAAATGTTTAACTTTTGAAATCTCAGTGCCATCCATCAACTCTAATCAAAGCTATTTTTTCCAGTCTTCTCACACTTGTTATTATAACTATACCTATTCAATTTTAAATCTGTTAGTTTCTTGACCTACCTGTATCAACCTGTTTTCTGTACCTCCCTCCTTATTTAGCTACCATATATCAACCATCACTTTTGCCACTGTGTTTAACTCCCATAAGCACTATGCTTTTCCTCTACCTGCCTGGCAAAGTTACACCCCTGGATTAATCCAACTGTCTCTCTTGTTCACTCCCAGCTCTAGGCTATTAGGCATTTCTAAAGAAAAATATACAGCCATGAATGTTGTCACCACCACTGATTCATTGTCGTGAACCTCAAATGAGTATTTCTAATTGTATCATAGTGTTACATGGATTCCTTTACACCTTTTCTTAGGGTACTTTCAGGATTTTCTCTTTGTCTTTGACTTTCTACTGATTTGAGTGTGATATGTATAGATATAGGTTTTTAGGTATTTTTCCTGTTTGGTATTCTCTAAACTTCCTGGATCTGTGGTTTGGTGTCTGTCACTAATTTTGGAAAATTCTTATATTATTTCCTCAAATATTTCTTTGGTTCTTTTTTCCCTTTTCCTTTTGATAGTCCCACAATACATATGTTACACCTTTGATAACTGTCCCACAGTTCTTAGATATGTCTGTTCCAAATTTTCATTAGTTTTTCTCTTTGCAATTCAGTTTTGGAAGTTTCTATTGATATATCTTCAGGCTTATTGATCCTTTCCTCATCTGTATGCAGTCTACTGATGAGCTCATCAAAGGCATTTTTCATTTCTATTGCAGTATTTTTTATTTCTACCATTTCCTTTAGATTCTTTCTTGGCATTTCCATCTCTCTGCTACATTAACCACCTTTTATTGCATATTGTCTACTTTTGTCCATTAGAGGTGTTATCATATTAATCATAGTTACTTTAATTTCTGGTCTGATAATTCCAGCATCGCCATATCTGAGTCTGGTTCTGATGCTTGCTTTGTCCTCTCACACTTTGTTTTCTGCCTTTTGGCATGCTTTGAAATTTTTTTTGAGCACCATACATGTACTGGGTGAAAGGAACTGTGGTAGATAAGCCTTCGTGATAAGGGTTTATGTTTATCTGCTAGGAGTTAAGACTGTTCCTGTTCGCAGTAGCTGTGCTGTCAAGAGACAGAGTTTTCCTCTATCATCTTTGTTTTTGTCTCTGTTGTCTTTGTGTCACCCTTGAATGGATCAGAGCTCTTCAGATCTTTTAACTGTAATCTCATTACTAGGAGCCCAATTGATGTGGTGGTAAAGTATAAAACTATGGTAGGAAAAGCATCCTATAATCCTCTGATTAAATCTCAGACTTTAGTGAGCCTGTGTCCCTAAGCTGTGACTTGCACAAGTGCTGCTCAGCTTACTCTCCTCTACAGGTTAAATAGGAACTCTCAAATTAGTTCACACTGATTCTCCAGCAATTTCTCAATCAGTTTAAGTGTTCCCCCCAGTACTGGCTCTAATTTTAGTCTTCTGCTTCTGAGCTTCTGCTCCCAATAAGTTGTGTTCCTAAAACATGTTAAATGCTATGATATAAGGGGTAAGAGGGCTTTCCCAGTGACTCAGTGGTAGAGAATCCTCCTGCCAATGCAGGAGATGCAGGTTCAATCCCTGGGTCAGGAAGATCCCCTGGAGGAGGAAATGGCAACCAACTCCAGTATTCATGCCAGGAAAATCCCATGGACAGAGGAGCCTGGTGGGCTGCAGTCCATGGGAGGGCAAAGAGTCAGACACAACTGAGCAGCTGCGCATGCATGCCTCCCAAGGGGTAAGAAACCAAACACGTAGGCTCAGGTATCAGTCATATCATGTCCATTGGGAAGGCAGAGTAAGGATGAATTACTCATTATGTACACAGTACAGAGCAGCAGTTCTCGAAACTTCTTATTCTGAACACTCCAAATAGTTGTTCTTAGATGAGTTTTGTTTATCAGTATTTCTATTTGAAATTAAAACTGGAACAATTTTAAATAATTCTATTAAATCATTTTAAAACAATAAAACCATTACATGTTAACCTCTGTTTTATTACATAATAATTTCCTGAAATTCAACAGTAGCAGTTACTTAAGTTAGTTGTAATGTGGAATTTGAAGCTATATCAGTGAATTTTTCCAACTCTGTCACATAACTTACTGGTTATTTAGAAGTCTGTTGTTAAATTTCCACTCATTTATGAATTCCTCATGTTTGTTTCTGTGGTTGTTTTTGTTTGTTTTCTTTTCTTTTCTTTTTTTGCTGCACTGCGTCTTCATTGCAGTGCAAAAGCTCTTCATTGTTGTGCGTGGGCTATGTTACTGACTTCCAGTTTAATTCTGTTGTGGTCAGAGAACAAACTTGGTAAAAATTTCAGTACTTTTACATTGATTGGAACTTGTTTTATGGTCTAGTATATGTTTCCCCTTAGAGAATGTTCCTTGTATGTTTGAGAAGAGTATGTACTCTGCTAAAGCTGCATGGTGTTCTAGTCTACTAAATCTATTCTAGTGTTGTCCAAGTCTTCTGTTTCCTTATGGGTCTTATGCTTTATCAGTCTTTCCATCAATGACACTAGTGTCATTATTAGTAATTCTAAGAGTATCCCCTATTGTTATCTATTTCAACCATCAATACCTTATATATTTGAGAGCTCAGTTAGGTACATTTATGTTTATAATTTTGTCTTCTTGATGGATTGACTCTTTAGTTGTTATAAACTCCCATTTTCTGTCTCCAGTAACATTTGTATGTTAAAGTCTCTTTTGTCTGATATTAATGTGGCTACTCCAGCTCTTATTTGGTTACTGTTTGCATGGTATATCTTTTCCATGCTTTTACTTACTTCAGCCTATTTGTTGTAAAAACATTTGTTTTTAAAGTGTGTCTTTTATAGACAGCATATACTTGGATGATGTTGTTCTATCCTGCTCATCTCTGCCTTTTGATAGCAGTGTTTAATCTATTTACATTTAATATAATTACTAGTAAGGTAGATTTCTGTCTGCCATTTTGCTATTTTGTTCTTTAGTGTTGCTGCTAATTACCCACACTTTTTACCAATGGGGTTTTTGGACCCCAAGGGTCCTTGCACCACACTTTGAGAACTGTTGTATGGAGGAATCACGTCTGGATTTCTGGATTCTTGTTTTTCAATGTCAGAGTGACTGGTGCATGGTAGGAAGTTAATTTCAGCTTTAGGACTCATAACAGAGACTTGCTTATATGATTTTTTTCGATTGACTGTAGGACAAAAGAAAAAACTTATAAAATCTGTAAAATAAGATATTATAGATAGGAGTATGAAATTTTCCAAATATGGATTAGAAAAAAATATTCCAGAATTTAAGTGGGAAGTTTCACAAAATACAGTACTTATAGCCTAAGATACCAGTCTTCCAGTACATAAACTCGACCATGGGTAATAAAATGAATCTGAGGTTACAACACTGTGATAAATATAGTCTCACAAGTATTATCTCCAAGCCTCACTGCAATGAGACAGGTTTAAAATATTAAAGAGCATTCACCATTCCAAAGAAACAAACCCATAAGAGACGAAATATTTTGTATTAAGAAGTGTATATCACATTAGTGATGTTTGTTACTAAGCGTGTGAAGTAATTTACAGCTAGTAGAAGTGATAAATGTTTGCATTTATGCATTGGGTGCCATACATAAGAATACCATGTTTATCATGGCAAAAATAATGGAAATGAGTGTTGATCAACAAAAGAATGAAAAATATTTGTGCTATAATCATGCAGTGGAGGACTCTCCACCTGTGCATCAGGTGACATACATAAGAATGCCATGTTTATCATGGCCAAAGAAAATGGAAATAAGTGTTGATCAACAAAAGAATGAAAAATATTTATGCTATAATCATGCAGTAGAATACAACCTTGAACTATAGTACATGGTTAATCATGGATGAGTCTCACATTAATATATTTTTTAAACAGTCACAGAAGGATACATAAAGTATGGTTCCATTTACATAGAAATTTAAAAGAGGCATAACCAAATATATTTTAACATGTATATATATATGATAAAACTTACATTTTCCTTAACTGGAAAAGAATGTATTCTCTAAGTCTAGTGCAGGATGTAAAATGTTTTAGAACTACTCGTCAGTATTTTTTATTCTATTAGGATTACAATGGATGGATTTTATTTATATTTACTGGGAAAATATAAACTATTCCAGTTCATTCCCGAAGGGAAAAGCAATGCTATAGTCAACAGAAATGTCATAATAAAACTACTCAAGGTGGGACCAAAAGTAGTAAAGAAAATTCTTCCTTAAATATTCATCTTTATGAAATAAAGAAGATACATTATTAGATTTTAGAACTATCCAATAAAATTAATGGACTATATAAATAAAATTACCAAATCATTTAAAGTTAAGAATTTTTTACTAATACAAGGTTTTTTAATAGATAACACTGGTTATCTATTTATGAACATGTTCTCTAACTGCTACCTAATATGTACGAATTTTATATAGAAGTATTTACTTTTTGGAATAGATTTGCCTGAAACTTCTGATGATGCATTTACTTTCCAAGGCTTAACTATTTCTTTTTTATTGTAGCCCTTTGGAGTAAATCAACCTGGACCTTACATCATGTATACAACTGTAGATGCAAATGGATATCTCAAAAATGGTTCAGGTAAGACTAGATATGCATAATAGTACATTTAATCAATATATTGGGTTGGCCAAAAATTTTGTAACATCTTCCAGAAAAACCCACACAAACTTTTTGGCCAACCAAATATTAACAAAGTAAACTGAATGGCAAAAATTATCGTTCTGTTTTCACACTCTTTATAAAATCTTCACTTTTTATATTATACCTGTCTTTCTGTGTACTTACATCAGTAGATTACAAAAAGTCCTCGTGACAAATATATTAACACTAAATTCTTTATATATTCCTAATGTATGTAGCCAAATCATTGTCCTTAATTTTCATTTGAAGTAACAGAGGTTAGGAATGATTACTTGAGATATCTTGATCAAAGTATGAAGTGGTGAATTAGTTAACAGAGCTCATCTTAAAAGAAGTAAAAATTAGGATTCAATTTACTAGGTTAATCCTAGTTTTTTTCATATGTTGAATAGAAAATGGACTATTATACAAATTTATATAACATGTAAATTGTTTTGATATGTGGCTATAAGGAAAAATCTTGTTTTACATTTGATAAAAGGAAATGCAATCAAAGCAAATGGGAAATAATACAAAGCAAAGGATGTCTGATCTTAACAGGTGGCTTAGCTGACTGAGATAAGGTCCAAACATTTCAGTTCTCTAAGAAGGAAAACGAATCCTTGCATACAACATATGCTTCTTTGAGACTGCTCAAGTCCTAACCATGAAGTACATGTAAACAGAGGTATTGTTACTCCTCCATTTTTAAATGAACTAAATTAAAAAAGAACTCATTATATGACAGTTTTCATTTTATATAATTTTATTAAATATGCCAGAGTGCACTTCCTTTTAAGCTAATTGTACACATTTAACACTGTCATCATGCTGCTTCATCAGCACAGAAACATTCCATAAAACAAAAACTGAAAAATTCAGGGAGAAACTGACAAACTCAATTACAGTTTACCCTTGAACAACACAGGAGGTTAGGTGCACCAACCCTCTGTGCAGTTGAAAATCTGCCTATGATCAATAGTTGGGCCTAATTCCTCTATATCCTTCAATTCAGCCAAGTGTGCATTATGTAGGACTGTAGTATTTACTATTGAGAAAAATCTGCATATGAGCAGACCTGAGCAGTTCAAACTTGTGTTATTCAAGAATCAATTGTATAGTCAAATATGTTGATATACCACTGTCAGTCAAAGAAACTTAAATCTGGATATAGATGATTTGAACAAATTACACTTTAAAACCTACGTATGTTAAACTGTACAATAGATTCCAAGACAAACTGGCTTTATTTTTTATCAATTAACTCTTTCAGACTTCCTTTTGTAAAACACATTTATTTTACCTTTGCCTGCACTGGGCCTTGGGTATAGCACACTGCGGTGCACGTGCTGCAGAGAGCATGGGCTCTATGACCTGGTCACAGCGTCCCCACAGCATGCGGGGCCTTGGCTCCATGAGCAGGGATCGAACCCATGTGCCCTGCACCGGAAGGTGGATTCTCAATCACTGCACCACCAGGGATGGCCCTCTTTCAGACTTGCAAGATGCCGATAATTTCAGTTCTAGATTAAATGTTTCAGAATGCTGAAAAAGATGAAGCTATTCATTCATGTTATGAAGCTATTCATTCATGTTATGAAGCTAATATAACTTCATAAAGCTAATATAATTTTATAGCTAGTTTACAAAGCTACTCCTGTATGGATCACAGCCTTGTCATGGCAAAGGGACTGGCATAACTCAATGAAACTATGACCCATGCTGTGCAGGGCCACCCAAGACGGATGGGTCACAGTGAAGAGTTCTGACAAAACATGCTTCACTGGAGGAGGAAATGGCAATCCACTCCAGTAGTCTTGCCTTGAGAACCCCATGAATAATATCAAAAAGCAAAAAGATATGACACCGGAAGATGAGGCCCCCAGGTCAGTACTGTCAGGTGTACAGTATGCTACTAGGGAACAGCATAGGGCAATTACTGATAGTTCCAGAAAGAATTAAACGACTAGGGCAAAGCAGAAAGAATGTCAGTTGTGGATGTGAAAATGATGTTGGTGAAAATACAGTGCAGTGCTGTGAAAACAATACTGCATAGGAACCTGGAACATTAGGTCCATTAAACAAGGTAAATGGGATGTGGTCATGCAGGAGAAGACAAGAGACAACATCAACACCTTAAAATCAGTGAACTAAAATGGATGAAAATGGACGAATTTAATTCAGGAGACCATTGTATCTATTACTGTGGGCAAGAATCCCTTAGAAGAAATGGAGTAGGCCTCAGAGTCAACAAAAGAGTCCAAAACATAGTACGTGGGTGCAGTCTCAAAAACAACAGAATGATCTCAGTTCATTTCCAAGGCAAACCATTCAGCATCACAGTAATCCAAGTCTATGACCTAGCCATTAATGCCGAAGAAACTGAAGTTGACCAGTTCTCTGAAGACATACATCAATTTCTAGAACTAACACTAAATGTCCTTTGGTGTCCTTTTCATCATAGGGGATTGGAATGCAAAAGTAGTAAGTCAAGAGATACCCAAAATAACAGGCAAGTGTGGCCATGGAGCACAAAATGAAGCAGGGCAAAGAATAATAGAGTTTTGTCAAGAGAACATGCTGATCATAGCAAATACACTTTTCCAATAAGCCAAAAGATGACTCTACACATGGATATCACCAGGTGGGCAATACAGAAATCAGATTGATTATGTTATTTGCAGCTGAAGATGGAGAAGCTTTATATAAAATAAGCAAAATCAAGACCTGGAGCTGATTGTGGCTCAGATCATGAGCTCCTTATTGCAAAATTCAGCCTTAAATTGAAGAAAGCAGGGAAGAGCACTAAGCCATTCGGGTATGACCTGCATTAAATCCCTTTCGTTTATATGGTGGAGGAGATGAATAGATTCAAGGGATTAGATCTGGTAGACAGAGTGCCTGAAGAACTATGTATGGAGGTATGTAACATGATACAGGAGGCACTGACCAAAGCCATCCCAAAGAAAAAGAAATGCAAGAAGGCAAAGTGGTTGTTTGAGGAGGCTTTACCAGTAGATCAGAAAAGAACAGAAGCCAAAAGCAAGGGAGAAAGAGAAAGATATACCCAACTGACTGCAGAGTTCCAGAGAATAGCAAGGAGAAATAAACAGGCCTCCTTAAATGAACAATGCAAAGAAATAGAGGAAAACAATAGAATGGGGAAGACTAGAGATCTGTTCAAGAAAATTGGAGATACCAAGGGAACAGTTCATGCAAAGATGGGCACAATAAAGGACAGAAACAGCAAGGACCTAACAGAAGCAGAAAAGCACTGAAGGCTGAGCACTGAAGAATTAATGCTTTCCATTTGTGGTGCTGGAGAAGACTCTTGAGAGTCTCTAGACCTGCAAGATCAAACCAGTCAGTCATAAAAGAAATCAACCCTGAATATTCATTGGAAGGCCTGATGCTGAAGCTGAAACTCCAGTACTCTGGCCACCTGATGTGAAGAGCCAACTTATTGGAAAAGACTTTGATGCTGGGAAAGATTGAAGGAAAAAGGAGAACGGGGCAACAGAGGAAGAGGTCGTTAGATAGCAACACCAACTCAGTGGGCGTGAATTTGAACAAATTCCGGGAGATAGTGGAGGGCAGAGGAGCCTGGCGTTCTGCAGACCATGGGGTCACAAGGACTCAGACACGACTTAGGGACTGAGCAACAACAACAATACAAAGTCAGCATATCTAAAGCCGAAAATTTAGCCCACTTGCAAACTATCAGTCAAAACTGCTATCAAAAATACTATTCATTTAATTACATTTGTATTTTGAAAGAATTTCTTAAGACCGTCAAGCAGGTGATTATCACAGGAATGCACTGATGGTTTAAAATGGGGGGAAATCTCTTTATTTTTATAAAGGTAGATCAGTTTTTTAAAGACTTGTCTTTTTTTTCATATAATAATACATTATTTAAATCTTTCCATGTCCATACAGCTAGTCCTAATTTTTTTCCTTTATTGTATTTTTTTTTTAATTTTCTTTTTTTTTTTCCATTTATTTTTATTAGTTGGAGGCTAATTACTTTACATCATTGCAGTGGTTTTTGTCATACATTGAAATTAATTAGCCATGGATTTNTGCCCAGAAGTGGGATTGCTGGGTCATATGGCAGTTCTATTTCCAGCTTTTTAAGAAATCTCCACACTGTTTTCCATAGTGGCTGTACTAATTTGCATTCCCATCAACAGTGTAAGAGGGTTCCCTTTTCTCCACACCCTCTCCAGCATTTATGCTAGTCCTAATTTTTTAAATTGAAGTATAGTTGACTAGTGTTATATTAATTTCAGGGGTATAATAATATAGTTATTCAGTATTTTTACAGATTATATTTCATTTAAAGTTATTATAAAATATTGGTTATATTTCCTGTGCTGAAATTATACCTGTGTATCTTATTTATTTTATACCTAGTTGTTCTTAACTCTTAATTCCCATGCCCTCCATTGCCCATCACCTCACTGCTCTTCCCTCTGGTGGTGATGGTGGTTTAGTTGCTAAGTTGTGTCCAACTCTTGTGACCCCATGAACTATAGCCCACCAGGATCCTCTGTCCATGGGATTCTCCAGGCAAGAATACTGGAGTGGGTTGCCATTTCCTTCTCCACATCCCTCTGGTAACAACTAGTTTATATTCTGTATCTATAAGTCTGTTTCTCTTTTGTTGTATTCGTTTGTTCTGTTTTTTAAACTCCATATAAGTAAAAACACAGTATTTGTCTTTCTATGACTTACTTCAATAAGCATAATACCCTCAGAGTCCATCCTTGTTGTTGCAAATGGCAAAATTCCATTCTTTTTATTCTAGTTTCCTGTGAAATTGTTTTACATATGGATACAATAACTGGATAATTTGCTCTTTTTTCCCCAACAGTAAAGATAACAGTAAAGATATATTTGATATATTTTTTGTGTACTTAAATGAATAATACTTCATAGAAAAAAAATCTAGAAAA